ATATCCATTTTGGCTAGAGAGAGCCTTTTCAGAAGTGTCAGATACACCCACTAGAAACTTTAAATTTGGAGGAATTTATGTTTCTTGTTAACAAACTGCTCGACTCTCTCTGACAAAGTGGTACTGGCGGCACCTGGTGGAGTTTGTCAGCTCTGCCTTGAATGTCTGTGGACACCACTCGAGTTTTGAACAAGTGTTTCATGGGCAGAGAAAGCAATTCCAGGTAAAATCCTGTTAGGTGGAAACTTGATGCCTTTGTGATCTCATCGATGTGTAGAAACATATAAAATAAATGATTTGAAAACTTGGAAACTGAAAGTGTGCTGATCTTTCAACAATAACCTGCTCAGAAGGTCTTCATATTCTGAAGTGCAAACCAGAGACTTTTAAGATGAGTATAACCGCACACAAATTTCATTTCTTTAATATAGTTCCCCCCCCGCCCCCCCCCCGCCAATCAACCTGGTTTTGCCCAGATAATGGCATTGTGATTCGCTTTTTTCCCTCTGCCCTTATCCTCTGTAGGCCTGCTCCTTTAATCATTAAGCCTAAAGACATAAGGTTAATGGAGCCTCAGGTCTATCTATAATCACAAGGACAATAGATTTCCGTTAGACCTTAGACTAAGGATGACATCTCTGCTTTAGCCCCTGTGTTTTAGCCCCAGGCTCATCGAGGCAGAATAACCCCAATGGCCATGGGACCAAGCCATGGGACTAGGCCACGGGACCAGGCCATGGGACCAGGCCACAGACCAGGCCATGGGACCAGACAGATGGCTCTGTAGCTGATTCCAGAACTGGACACAGTGGTCAGTTGCCTCATTCTCCTCCAGTCATCCAATCAGTAGCACCCATGATCCCAACTCCCTTAGTTTCCATGACTACTGATTTTTCCCTATATAATCTGTACTCCTGAGACACCCTGGGAGCCAGGCCTTTGAGCAATAGCTTGCCTGTTTCTGGGACTTGCAACTCTCTAATAAACCTGACCTTCTTTGCTGCAAAACCTACACATATCTCTTCTTTGGCTTAGACGTGTGCAGACAGATGGACCCCACTTTTGTCCTGGTAACATGAAGACACTGATCAGATTAAATAATCACCCAGACCCACAAGGGCAGACTCTACTTTTGAACCCAGGTCTGTCTGATGACAAAGTCCCAGGACACCACACTGTCTCTTAACACTGGGTCAGGTATGTGCTCAAAAAGTAGAAACAGGATGGATCGGATGAAGCATGATTATTGCATTTTCCAAGGAGAGCGGCAGAGTGTTACCACACCAAAGGCATAGACCAGTGCTTCTCAAGCTCTAACATGCTTATGAGTCAGCCAGAGGATCTTGATTTATTGCAGATTCGGATTCAGTAGTTCTGGGGAGGGGCCTGAGAGTCTGCATTTTTAACAAGCTCCCAGGTGAGACTGACGCTGCTGGTCTACAGACCACACTTGGGGTCTAGAGTAGACTCTAGACCAGTGGATCTAGTGGGTAGAGGCCAGGGATGCTGCTGAATATCCCACAATGCACATGGCAATCTCCCACGATAAAGAATTATGAGCCCAAATGTTAATTGCATGGAAGTTGGGAACCCGCCTAGACCTAGTCTTATACGACTCAGGCCTATCTGCTGTGAGCTCAACATCTCTGATCTGGACACAGTTTGCTGGAAAATAGAAATGAACTATTTACTTTTGTTCATAAACAAACAAACAAAAACAATATATACTTAAAAATCTCCCAGACATAGTTTTGAGGCACATGAAGGATGAGGGGGCATGGAGAAGACCTGTGACAATGGGGCCGTGATGAGCCCTTTTCCTGTTTAGGAAAAAAACGTGCAACTCGCTGCCAGTGTTCATTTAACATTATGCGTAGGAACGCTACATTTTCTAGGATTTGTCATTTTCAGAGATTGAACTCCTAAAAACAGAATGCTGTAAATAGAATGATGTCATTTGTTTCCAAAGACTATCGATAGACTAGAGCGCTAAGAATAATTTAATAAAAGCGAGTTATTTTCATAGCAAACTTTGGGGGTGAGGTTAGGACAGTAATCCACGAGTTATCTCAGGTAAAGGCTGCAGCTGCAAGCACCACTAGCAAGAATTCTCAAGGCAAATAAGAAAAGAGTTAAGAATGCCATGTGATTTATGAGGAACTTTGTATATGTGTCCATATTAAACTCCTCCAACCAAGGACTTGGCAATGCAAAATCAGTGAGTCCAACAGACTTAGAAATGCTTTGCTTCTTATCTCATGTAGCATCAAAAGAGCAACAAAAAGATATTTCTTTCTATTGTGATTTATCCTTCAGAATAACTTGATAAAATATTGCTATAAATCTAAAGTAGCTGGTCAGCAAACTTTTTCCTGTAAAGGGTCAGACAGTAAATATTTTAGGCTTTGCAGGTTATATGGCCCACATCACAACTTCTCAACTCACCCATAGAAGCACAAAAGCAGCTAGGAACAATTATAGTAAACCCACAGATTGGCTGCATTCTAAAAATACTTTATCAGAATGGGTCCCAGGTCAGATGGCCCATGGCGGTAGTTTCCTGTCCTCTGGTCTAGGTATTCAAGTAAATTTGGGGTCAGCTGTAAATCTCATACTACCTGTGACATAAGCAGCTGCAATTTTTTTTTTTTTGACATCTGGCCCCCTTTGGTTTTATAGGGGTGGGTAGAGGGTGACTAATACATTGTAGTAGACACAAAAACAAATAGTTTTCCTGCCTGACCCAATCACCGTGAAAACTCCAAGCACAATCCAATTGTTTTATTATCTCCCTCTGTAGTCGACACCAAGGGTTTCTAATTTATCCGCAAGCATTAATTAAGAACCTAAGATGTGCTAGGCAGTACTGTAAGCCAAAGAGAATCCAAAAAGTCACGGTCCATGTTCCTAAGGAGTTTGGGGCTTATTGTGGAGACAAGGCATAGACACAGTCACAGGAAATTCAAATGCCTTGGATAGATTATCAATTAGAGGCACACGTGACATTTGGAAAAAAGTGGAACCTGGGTACTTCGTTCTGTTACCAAAATGAATTTCAGTTGGTTCAAATACTTAAGTGTAAACAAAATGAAACCATAGCGCTAGAAGGGGGCACATTTTTTATAACCTTGGAGTTGGGAGTCTTTCTATTGAGACCATGAACCTCAAAAGCCACAAAGGAAAAGATCACATAAGAATAAAAAGTTCCCACAGGAGGAAAAGTCTACCATAAACAAGATTAAAAGGAACTGGGTAATTATTTTTAATACACATAGCACACAAAGAGTTTTATCTTGTGAACTTGAAAAAAAAAATCAATAGAAAAGGATCACTAATCTAAAAGAATAGTGGTCATAATTTACGAAAGTACAAATTGCCAGTTAATTTTAAGTATCTGAGTAGAGGCTAAGAAAATAAAGGAAAAAATCCAGACCAAAATGAATTAAAATGCATTACTGTCCCGCAGGTTAGCTTCAGTCTTGGTTTTTTGGATCACATGCTCCCCAGCTGCTCCTTCTGAGGATGCTCCCTCCTGGAACCCATGCTGAGAGATGCCACATGGAACCACTGCAGTCCACAGTCCCAGCTGTGACAGCCCTTGAGTCATCCCAACCCTGGGGTCAGACAAGAGAAGGAAGAAGCCTCTAGATGACTCCAGCTCCCAGCTGTTCAAGTCACTCACAGCCCTTCATTTCTTCGCAGACATTGTAGATGCTGTGTGTCTGTATGTGTATGTGTATGTGTACTCTAAAGTCCTTACTTCCAGACTCCATGAGCATAATAAAGTCATGATGGTTTTACAGATTGAGTTTTAGTTGGTCGGTTACAGAGTAGGAAAGTGGACACTGCCCACCACAAACAAGGCGGCGGAGCTGCCTGTCTTTAGCCAGAGGCTGCTGTAGGAGAAAAGCTACATCAGCTCACCTGGCTACGACTCAGGGCAGAACTTCTGCAGTGTGATGACAGTCTTAGAGACTGGGATCCAAGACAAGGAGGTGGATGATGTGGGGAGGAGGATTGGTGCTGGGCACCGGCAGTCAGGTGCATGTCTGTTCATGTCGGCCCTGCTGCTAGCAGACACCTGCCACCTCTAGTGTCCACCTGTCTCCCCTGTGGGCTCCACTGATTTAACTGGGCTCTGTACTCAAGCGCCCAGTGGATACTCAGGAGAGTAACTTTATCTAAGACAGGGAGCGTAGCAGAGGGCTCGCAGCTTGGCATCTAATGCCAGACACCCTGATCGCAAAACCCAGTACACATCATGTGAATTAGACAAATGTTTTTGACCTTTCTGGGCCTCCGTCTCCTCATCTGTAAAATGATGACGGCGATAACCACGGAGAGTTGCGATGCGCCTTTAAGACCTGTCGAGTGCTTAGAATAAAGCCTGACACACAACAAAAGCTCGAATGGGTGAAATCACTTCATATGTAACTCCAGAAGTTCCATCTTGGGCATAAATAACCCTACGAGGCACAGTCAGACAAAGACGACGTAACAGCAAACAGCCAAGTCAGCGGAGTGCGTGAGCGGCGTGGGCTGTAATAATCCCTATGACTCGCATTAGCCCGCCCGCCCCGGACTCACAAGGCTCCTGGGTTAGGGCCACATAGTGGAGGCGACAGAGAACTGTGGCCACACTGGGCGACACCAAACTCCGGGACGGCCTCCACCCGTCACCCAGAGAACACTCGCTGTGTCCCCACGTTCCCGGAGCCACCGCGTTTTCCCAGCGAGGACACAGGGAGGGGCCCGGCCTTCCTGTCGCCGTCGCTGCCCCGGTGAGAGGACAGGTCCTGGGTGGCAGGGTCCGGTCCGGCGAACGTCCCCTGGGAGGCGGAGGTCGCACACGCGAAGCCGTCCTTGTCCCTGTGGTCCTTGTAGGTCTCTACCGTGGTCACGCTCATGCTGACCGCGCTCTGGTTGTTCACCTGCAGGTAAAAGGCATCGGCGGCCCGAGGACCTTGCGGCTCCCGGCGCGGGGGCAGGGGGTGCGCAGGCGGGGGGAAGGGCATTTTTTTTGCTCGGCGGGGCAGCACCTGTGCAGGGCGCCTGCCTGGCGCTCCGCGCGCCTCCGCAGACTTGAGGATCATCCGGCAGAGGCCTGTTGAAAATGCGGGTACCTGGGCTGCCTCACTGATTTTGGCTTAGCAGATCTGGGGCGCAGCCCAGGAATCTGCAGGATTGTGACGCTCAAGAAGACTAAACTGCTCCCTATTTCTTCTTTGGACCAAAAGGGGTAGGCCTTCCTGTCCACCAGGAGACATACCAACACTAAATGCCAAGCAAATAAGCCCTATTTGATCTGAAATCAAAGGTCAATATTTCCCTAGAAATGCAAAGGGGATTCCAGTCTCTTCCAGCATCTCGTGTTCAAAAGCCTCGGAATGACCTTGAAAGGGCTCTCTGCCTCCCAGCGTGCCCTTCCTCCGCCTGCCCTCCTTTCCCCTACGTGGGGAAGACAGCAAAGCAGCAGAGTTCAACTGGACATGCTTTACATGTCAAAGTCAATCAGAGTCCCGATTCATCCTGGAGTGGAGGACAGCACGATGAGGTAATACACAGGTAAAGGCTTGGTTTCACCTGAAGCACACGTCCATTTGCTCCACCTGGGGAGGCAGGGGCAGCTGGCCCACTCCAGCCTCAGAGCTTCCATCATTCAGGGGAGCTAGGTCCGTGTGGCAGTGGCAGACAGAATGCTGGAGCCTGGTTACTTTTACAGCCAGGTAATCTCTCCCAGAATAACCCCAAAGGGTTTAGCTCTGACAAGTGCATGGCTGCCTTTGAGTAATGAAGAACTGTTTGCAGTGGGAGTGGGTAGAGCTGGGAGCGAGGGTGATGCTGCTGGCCCTGAGGGAAGCTGTGCTCCCCAAGTCTGCACCTCCATCTCCTGACTGTGCCAGGCTGTCTTTCGATGAGGGTTGTGGCATCACCCTGGGTGGGAGGGGCGGGAGAGGAATTGTGTCTGTTCTGTTCACTGCCGTAGACACAGAGCCCAGAGAGCACTCAGAACATAGTTGGTTCTCGATAAACACCATGAACATCAAATGTGGGGGTGGCGATGTGGTCCGGGGTGGTGGAGAAATAGTAGGTCCTGGGACGGGGAAGGGGAAAAAGAATGGCTCAGAACTCCAAGGGTCGTTGGGGGGAGGGTCACCTAATGGTGCATCGAGTTGTGGGGTCTAATCTGGACTCTCCCCCTCAGTCACCTGCATTCACGCTGGATTGACCTAAGCCTTCCTGAGGAGCAGAGTCAAAATGCTCTTATTAAAACAAATCAAACAGAGACAAACTTATTCATAATGAATTCTTAAAGAAACAAGCTGCAGCAGTTATCCGGCTTCGAAGGGCCGGCCCCTCCCCACATGTCAGCTCTGTGAAGGAGTATCCAATGACCTGTGTTCACGTCACTCCCAAAACATCTGTGTCAAATCCACTGGTCGGGTGACACCATTTAACCCTCTTAAGATTTAAAGTAGCTAACCCGAGGGAGGAATGTTTTTGGGGGACCCCTTCCTCTCGTCTCAGAGTCTGAGCACTGCAGGGAGCATTTGTCTTTTGAAGGTCCCCAGTCCCCAGGTGAACCCCCTCTATAAAGGTGCAGGGTTTCTACTGGGAAAAAGCTGACTGGGTCTTCCACTCTCTCAGGAAGCAAGGATCTCCTGGACTAGTTTCGGAGCCAAGACTACTTTAGAAAATTCTTAGAAATGTTGGCAGCTCTTATTCTCTTTAGATTTATTTGAGGGGTTCGCCCACCTGTTTAAAATAGATAAATTCTCAGAGCATCTTTTCTGGGCACTAGAGAATCTAAAAGATGAGTCACAAAGAAACCTCTCTTCTCCCGGAACGCTCCTGTCCTCAAAACCAAACAAACTAACACAACAAACAAAAAGCTCGGGGCTGCACAGCACAGACCCTCAGATGCACCTTGTCACCTACCAATGACACTGAGGAACTGCGTCAGGGTCAGCTCCTGCTGGACCAGGAACTTGGTCTTGTCCAGCGGGGGCAGGAACTTCTCTCTGGAGTAGCGCTCTACTACCACCTGTCGAGAGTTTCATCCCCCAAGAATGTGAGTCAGAACTCTCGGCATCTTAGACTCAGAGCAGGAAGACATAGTGGAGTTTTTGTTCTTCTGTTTTTGTTGTTGTTATTGTTGTTTTGTTTTGTTTTTTGTTTTGTTTTGTTTGTTTTTTTAAAGAACAAAGTAGTATGTCCCTTTTCAAAAGTACAATGGAGTTTTATGGGGATCTTGTTTGGGAACTTTGCCAGAATTCCAGCCACTTCCTCTTGTCTGGTTGCTGTGACTATTTCAAGTACAAAAGAGCAAGTAAACAGCAAGGAAAATCTGTATCCTTTCCCCTCTCTTATCTGGTAACCCAGACAGCTACCGAGAACTTCACCTAAGCTCTTTCTCTGCTTCAAGGGTCTGAGGCTTGGGCTTTTCTGTGGAGGCTGCATTTTGCTCAACCGCTGTGTCTGTGTCTGTCTTTAAAAAAAAAATCCCACAGCCAAGACCTAACTCATTCCTCCAGTGGCTTCCAATCCACCTACAGGAGCCTAAAGGGGGCCTTTATGTAGGGCTATGTGACATCAGGCCTCTCCAACTCTCCCCTCCCCCACCCCCTCCCTGGGCAGGAGGAGGTCATTTCCATCTGAGGATGGAAATGGGGCAGCCACCTGCTTGTTGGTCAGAGAAAGTCACTTCGCTTATGACTGATTTGAGACATTTTTTGCTGGAGAAATTAGGGTTCATAATAAAATTAATGACTGCAATGCAATCACAGTCTAGGCTGAAGACTCTGGAGAGGTGAAACTGCCATTTGCAAAGGACGTTTTTGTCCTTTGTAATGAGCCACCTTGAAGGAAGGCCACGATGGACCCGCCTGATGCTGAAATAGGCTGCGTAATTCTCACAACAGTCCTTGCCATTTTTCCCAGAGAAAAGCCTATGATCAGAATCATTAAAGAATTCACCCAGGGTCACACAGCTAGTAAGAGAGGCACTGGGGATTAAAAACCAGATTTGGAACAAGGTAGTGCTATGCCCCAGTATATGCTGTCATTTTGTCTTCTCTGCAGTAAAGGAGGGAAAGAAGCACAGTTACCCCGAGATCTCCCTCTAAGAGCTGAGGAATGGAGGCCCATGGAAGTTTACCGATTTGCCCATGGAAGTTTACCGATTTGCCTAGGACCACACGGCTGGTAAGAGGCAAGACGCAGCTCTCCCAGGCCCCAGCATCCGGTGCTTGCCTCCGATACATACGCCATCCAGGTAACCTTCAGACTCTGAATGAACAGAGGTTTCTGTGTCCTTCATTGATTTCCCAGCAAGATGAATCGATGACCAGTAAAAACTGTCCGAATGAACAGTGCCATGAGGAAGGCGATGGTACATCTTCCACCTTTGCTGGGTGAATCAAAGGGAGGGGACCTCAGAGCTTTAGGTTAGTGGTAGCAATGGACATCAAGTGATTAAGCAATAGCATCACTGAAGACAGAAGTGGCCTCATCCTCTGTCTCATCTCACTTGTGAGGTAACAAGGAGCAGGTGTGTAGTGCACTTCTGAAGTCAAATGGCGTTCAAATCCACGGTCTCTTTGAAGTCTCAATTGCCTTGCAGGGTCTAGAAGGGCAGGGAGGATGCACACTTTGCAGATCGACATCTACCCAGAATGCACTGAGGTGGGGGCCAACCCACACTGTCCAGTTCCCAGCTGTGGGCCTGGCCTCCCGGACAGGTAACTCTGGTTCCAGGCCTGGTCCTCCCTACTATCACCTTAATTTCTGAGCTTCGATAAATCACTTCACTTTACTAAGTATGGTTTTCCTTTTTGCAAAATGATCATTTATACTTACTTAAAGTGGTCAGTTTTCCCTAATTCAGGCTAGGTATATGAGACTTAAACGAACTCATTTCTGTAAAGCAGCTAGCACAGTGCCAGTACCAAATCCGATGCTCAGTATGTGACCCCCTCCCCTGTCCCCTCACATGCTTCCCCAAAACTCCCACAACCCCAGAAAAGTTTATGCGAATTCAGGTTTAAAGGCTGAAGGAAATAGCACTGGATTTGGGGTCGGGGGAAATAACCCCCCACTGCAGTGTTTGGCCAGTCCTTATTGGGTTTTGAGATGTTTCCCCACTGCCCTGCATTTCGCTTTCTCAGCTGGCACGTGGGATTATTATCTTGGCCAAGTGTACCATCTGTAATGGGGATGAAGGCTGTAATAGAATAAAGGACTGCGGAAAATATTAAAATGTGGCCATACTCACAGAATATATCATCATTCAGCAGAGGAATGGGCTAGATTGTTTTTCTTTTGTTGAAAAATTTCTTTTTTGAGAGTAGCAGGGTATCCATGGGTGCTATGGGGCCCCACCATGCTCCTGGAACCTAGGTGGCCAGAGGTGACCAAAGTCACATAATGTCGATGCCACACAGATTGTGGGGAAGGGGATGAGAACAGCACTGTGGAAATCGGCTGGAGCCAGTGTGGCCAGGCTCGACCCGGAGTCCTCAGAGAACGTCGTTCATGATGTGCAGTGGGAAATATCATGCTTCTCGGAACTTTACCTGCCCGCAGACAGAGCATGTGGAACTCCGGCTGGCTGAGGTCGTGCTGATGCCCGGTACCCCGCTCTCTCCCCCACCCTCTGTCTTCTCAGATCCGGGTGCTGGGGAGGGGCCGGCGAGAGGACCCGTGGAGTCCTGTACGAAAGAGAGTGAGCGGGTGAAGGAAGAGGTGGCAGAGAGGGGGCGCTTGCTATTGGGGTTAGGGAGCTTTATTCCTTCCCCTATAAACGTGCCTATGCCCTACCCCTTTCTTAAAATAACCAGTCAACCTTCCCTGGACTGTGCCAGACATGTGACTGTCTAGTTTCACAAAACTTTTCTATATTTCTTGACCCGTGGCAACCTGTCGTGGAAAGAAAAACTTTGAAAACAGACTTGGGTTCTAAATCTCGCTTACTAGTAAGTTACTTAACTTCTTTGAGCCTCGCGTTATCTGTTAGCAAAACGAACACACTTTCACTGCGCGAAAATGAAAGATGGGAATTTATGTGGTGCACACGTGTATATGGGGTGACAGGAGGAGCTCAGTAAACATGAGTTCTCTCATACTGCTTATTCCTGTGGAGCTAGGAGCCCAGTCCCCGCTGCTCACACTTCCTGAACCTTCTGCAAGAGCTGGCTGAGCTCACTGTCTCCACTCGTTAAACTCCTGCAGGCTGGAGTCTGTCCCAGCACTAACGCATGCTCCCGGAGGTCAGCAATAATACCCCCTTTTAGTCCTTACCTTATTTGACCTTTTAACCTTTAGCATGTGGAATTGTGCATTTCCTCCCTCCAATAAGTCTCGTCTTTTGGGCTCCAGGGTACCACTTTCTTGGCATCTTCTCCCCCTTCTCCAGCTGCCTCTCGCTCTTTTGCAAAGCCAGTTCTCCCTGGGGTCCCCAAGGAGATCCATGGGATATCCATTTATCCATAATAAATTTGCATTTATTACGTGAATAAAAAGGTTTACGAAACTTTTCTGTATTTCCTGACCCGCGGCTACCTGCGCATTGCCTCGACTGCATGCGACCGTTCGTAACAGCAGACACTTGCCGTGCACACAGAGCTTTAAGATGAACCCCCAGAGTCACCACCCTTCACATCGATTTCTTGCCGTGTACGAAGTTCAGCGCCACCAGCGTTGCTCCTTCTGCCCCTTGATCTTGGCATTTCCCCAGGTCCGCCTTGTCCTCTCCTTGCTCAGTCTGCTTTCCTGGGATGACTGTAACCCTTCTGGAGCAGTTTCCTAAGGTGACTCGGTTTCTCCAATGTGATTAAATGGGCCTGTCCCTTGGCAAGTGTGGATGTGTGGGGCCCAGGGAGTGACGAGGACAGATGCAGCTCATGGCTGTCCTGTCCTATCGTGGCCGCTGTCGTTCATCATTCCTGGCTACAAGCTCAGATTCTAGTGGGAATCAGGGTGGGCAGTTATAACAATATGGAGGTAGAAATAAGGGGCCACTGTGGGTCGGAAGGCTGAGCAGAAGGACATGTTCGTCCATGCGCCCGTTTCAGAGAGGAGAGGGATCCTCGAGGCTGTCACAGAATGTCGCCTGATTCCTCCAGTAAACTGCCTGGACTTTGTGGCTTCGCAGGGCCAGTGGAGGAGATGGGAGATGCATGACAGAGAAGGACTCTGGCTGCTGCACAGAGACCCAGAACTTCCCATCCTAGATAGGACTCATCCAGGAGAGGAAGGCGACCTCAAGGTAGAAAGCGGAAATCAAACTTTACTTCATTCCATTTTATTTTTTACTTTTCAATCATTAAGCACCCTTTAAGATGCTCCCCAATGTTTAGACTTGTTTTTCTAATCAACATGGGGCAAAAACAGTTTCCTTTAAGTCAAAGGAAATAAATGATTCTGATTCCCAAATTAGCCGCTAAATTATGAAGCCACTTCAACTCACCATTTGCTTAGTTAACCTGTGAAAAGGTTTTAATGCTGCCAGTTCTGTCGTCCAAGAAAAGAAACTCACAGGAGCTGTTGAACGGCTGAGGCAGGGCCTCGCCTGCGTGTGCATCTTCAGTAGCTGTCACAGAGCCTGGCATCTAGCTCATGTTCAGTAGAAGTTAATAAGTTCAATAGAAGTTCTCTGCACGCAAATGGCTAACAACAGAAAGGCGCCCAGCCACATGGTGGTGGCCACGCGCAGGACAGGCGAGGTTCCATCCAGACCACGTGCCGTTACGGCCGGGATGAATCGCTGCTCCTTTCAGCAGGGAAACGAGGCTGAAGCTGTCCACTGCCACTCGTGAGTGTTTGATCTCCTTGGGAATTCGACTGTACCAAGTCTTTAGCATCTGTCTCTTCCTAGCGATGGGCATTTGGCAGCAGGGCAGTGGTAGCAAGCCTGGTGAGTTCAAGTTCATGCCGCGAGGCCCGTGCACAGCCTTCGTCCTGCCACCACAGCTATTCCTTCATGCACTCATCGTTCCAGCCCTGGGGGAGGTGGGAGGTGCTGGCCAAAGTCACCGGTTAACTGGCCAAATCATTCTGTCACCTTGGCTGTGTAACGCCTTCTCGGTGGTAGATGTTCACTGAGGGGCATTGAACATGTGATATAAAGATCTTCGCATGTCATGTCTGTTCCCACAGGTCTGTCCTCGTGCTTCTTTCCTAGACCTACTGGGCCCCAATCTTCAAGTTTTCTTCTTACAGCCCCAGACGAATAAGCCAAGACATTTGCCACTGCCCAGGAGTCCACGTTTACCCCGAGTGAGTGACCAGGTGGACTGCCCTAAGCTCTGCCCAGTGGGAGGAGTCCCCTCACCTCTGACCTTCAGGGCCACCTGCAGTGGGGTCGTAGTTCAGTTTTTTTGGCTTGCAGCGTATACCGAGCCTACACATCTGTGAATCATTCAGCCTTTTTCTTCCTCTGTCAGCTGATTGTGAGGGACCCT